AAAAAAAAAAAAAAAAAAAAAAAAAAAAAAAAAAAAAAAAAAAAAAAAAAAAAAAAAAAAAAAAAAAAAAGAGGAAAGAAAAATAACTTCTGAGTTTGCCCTGAAATTTCTGAATCAAAGTCAACAATCTTCTCTAGTAAAAAGATTTATATAGAATTAAAACAAAAATGCATACTATAAAGTTAAATATGGAAATCTCAGATTCAAAAGATACAAGCCAAGTGGGATACAGAACATTAAACAGGATTCTAGAATAGCCTTACAGTGAAGTGTGTGATGGCCACTCCTGAATTTTTAAAATTAAGAACTACACACAATGTAAACTAAAGTATCAATATCCAGGAAGGCTTTCTGACAAGTACCATGTAAAATATAAGGAAAACGTGTGAAGGTAAATAAGGTTAATTAATATCTTAAAAGTGGATATTTTTAATGATGTCTTTAAAGACCTCAAGTCTTACCTTCCCCTTTCTTTTCGAGTTTCTAACAGAAAAGCAACATTTTTTTTTTTCTCAGATCTTGTTAAAACTCGATTCTTTAGCCATGTAAAAGAGGGAAAATTTGACTGTAAGTGAAAGTCTAGAGCACCATGTCCTTTAATTCAGTGATGGGGACCTTCATTCGATTACCTCATAGCTATGGGACAAGACACGGCAAAAGCCAAATGATAAAATATTAAATTATATTTTCTTCCTCCTCAGGCAAAGAGTGAGTATAGCATTAGATTAGTTTGAAAGACTAAAAAGGAAGAAGAGGAGCCTGCAATATGCATCACAAGTGACTAATACAATTTTTAAGCCCCGTTTATTCATATAATCAGGCATAAGCACTTATGCTAACTGTGGAAACCTCAAATGTAATACATAGCCCAAATGAATTCCAGATTAGTGCATGCTTCAGTGTTTCATGTTCTCCCTTGCACATGCCTAGTGAAAGCCTGCCACTCTGCAACAGAGGAAGGAATTACTACAACAAAACCATAGGCAGACTTTGCCAGAAACTATACTTTTTTTTGAAATGAGGCAGAATAAGCTGAGTGTTTTAAGTAATGGATAGGTTTGCATCCCACTGTCTAGCAGCAGTTATTCTAATTGTGTTTCACAGCTTCATCAGAGAGGCAGAAATATGAACAAACTATAGGAGCATTCTCCATAATCTGCACTGAAACAAATGACACTCCCTTCAGCCAGAACATCTTCCACCATTATGGGAAAGGATCCATTTATCTTTCAGCTATAAACCTGAGTTAGCTACATGTTCACCATACTGACATCCCAACATTTTTTAATCTTATGATGTCAATCTTGCATCTACGTAAAAATGTGTATTTCAGTGTGTAAAAAGATCTCTTGCTGCTGACAACTCAAAGTGCATTAACTTGGGAAGCCTTGAGATTTCCACACACACCCACACACTCCTTTCAGTACAGATCTCACTGATTAGAAAACAAAATATCCACAACTTAATAGACCTTTCACACACAGTGGCATTTCTGCAGAAGCATACGTTTCCAACACTTCAACTTTTACTTTCATCACTATTAGCAAGTTATTTTCCCAAGTTATTTCCTACACACACACCATGCCCAGTGCCCCTGCTGAAACTACCACATTCACTGAAACTGAATGAGCTCCTAGTGAAACATCAGAGCTTAGCTGTAAATATGTGTAAATACTTTTATTCTGTGCTGCTTTCCTGTTAGAATACAACATGCATCAAGGTCACTGTAACAGATTGCAGTTTTCAGGCTCATAGAGAAGACACTGAGGAAATCAGTAAGAGCAAACTTAAATAAGCAGTGTTTAAAGTTCTGCCTTCTCCCAAACCTGCCCAGAATTCACATCTCTGTTTCCTGCATTTCAGTCAGGTCTATTCACAGGTTCGGGAACGCTATCACTGCTGAAAGGTGAATAGAACTCGTTCTTTGCAGTGTGACCGGTCTGTTCTGAGCTCTCCGAGTTTTTAGCTACAGATTACAGCCCCATGGGCCTCTCCCTTTGAAGTGGAGTTCCTCTGAATTAGTCCCCTGCCTGCAACCTGTCCTCCATACACTGAAATAAATTACAGTCAACTTTTCCCTTCATTGCCATGTCAAGTGTAGCAATAAATATCCACAGGCTAAAAGCAAACAAACAAGACTGGACGAACCATAACCTCACAGCAAGAGCATCTCAAGGAAGAACACCAGGCAGGGCACAAGAAAGTTAAGGGCATAAAAATCAAAACTCACTATCTGAATCCATAAGTGCGTATGTAAGGCTAACATGCTTCTTGCCTCTCTCCCACAAGAAGCACGGGTGAAAAGCAATTAAGGGGCTCCGACAATTTAGTTAGAGTTCAGCAAAGAGGAGAAAGCATTTTACACTATGAAATGCCTGGGAAAAGGCATCATCTCTTTCAGTTGCAGAAGTGGGAAGCGTTGGGACACGGAGCTTCTTTCCCGGCTATGCACCGGAGCACCGCACCAGCGGTCCGCCCGCGGCGGACTCCGGCGGAGTTGGAGCGGGGCTCCCCTGCAATCCCGGCCACCAATCCCCCCGCACCTCAACCCCCGAGAACTGATGCTAGCGCCGCCGACCATCCGGCCTCGAAACTGGCAGCAACCGATCAGCAGCTGCAAAAAAAAAGTCACTCGAGACGAAGGAAACGCAGCGAAAAGGAAGCAAGAGCTTACTTGCCTATACAGCACCGCCGGACGACCTCCTCGCAGCTGAGAAACGCTGTGCCGCTCGTCCTCCTCCCACCGCTCCGTGCTAGTTCCAAAATAATTCCTCCGGGCGCCGGCACATCCCCGGGCTCAGCCGAGGAGCGCAGGGAGCCCGGCCGCCTCGCCCCCCCGCCCGGTGCCCATGGTGTCAGCCACAGCTCCGGCAACTCGCGCTCCTGCCCGCCGGCGCTACCTCGGGGCGGGCCGCCGGCTAACAGGGCATCGCAGCCCGGCCGCCGCCGCACCGGCTCGAACTCCGCCGCGCTGGGGGGGAGCGAGGGGCTCCCCGCGCCCTTCCCGGAGACGGAGCGGGGGCGCCGGGCGGGGGCGTGCGGGGAGCAGCGCCGCCCCTCGCGGCGGCGAGCGGCCAGGCGAGGCGCGGCGAGGCGAGGGGAGGCGAGGCGGCGCGGCGCCGCCACCGCGGCCGCAGCCAGGCGCGGCGATGCCGGCCCCGCCCGGGACCCCCGCCCGCCCCCCCGCCGCTCCCGGGGCGCTCCGTAACGCCGCCCCGCTGCCGGCGCCAGCAGATCCGGTGACGCGCAGCCCTCCCCCGGGCCGGCCCCCGTGCCGGAGAGGGGCGAGCGGGCGGCGAAGCGGGAGCCGCTTCCCACGGGCAGCGGGAGGGTGAGCTGGACCACCGGCGCGCAGGGACAGAGCGGTCCCGGGCGCGGCGGCGGAGCTGCCGAGCGCCCGGGGGAGGCGGTGTCTCCTGGGCTGCGGGAGAGCCCGCTCGCCCGGAGCCCGCGGAGCTCTCCCCGGTCCTAGGGAGCTGCGGCTGGCCGCTCACCCCGTGCCCGGCAGGAAAGTTATCGGCTCCCCCTCTTTCCTCACTCAACCTCCTCTTTAGTTCAGCTGCCTTGGCTGCCCTTTCTGCCAGCTGTGTGACAGGGTTTCGGCTGGCCGCTCGCCAGAGGGACTGTACATCGATCCCCCATGTAGGGAAGAAATTTGGTGCCGGTTCTATTACTTTGCCTGGCTGGCTTGGCGCGGCACCGGCGCTGCCTTCTCCGCGCCCCGTCTCCCAGCCTCTAACCCAGAGCACGGCTCTGCGGCGACCACCGCCACCGGCGCACAGCCAGCGCCGCTCTTCCGGGCTGCCTCGGACAAGGAGGGGGCCCAAAGGGTGCAAAAGGGGTGAGGACAAGCTGCCCTGTGCCTCGCGAAAGCCCTGCGTGATCCTCGCTCTCCCGTTCCGCACGCTCGTGCTTCCAGCAGCGCGCACGGTGCCCGGCCGGAGATCCCCCGCAGGCATGGATGGCCCTCGCCGTCGGACAGCGCTGCAATGACACGCTCTAACGCAGCTATCAGTCACTTACACAGGCACACCCATATATATAAAACATAGATATGTATGTACATGCATGAACACACCCCCATACGCATAGGCGGCCGCCGCGGGGAAACCGCATCTCCCCGCGGATGGGGCCGCCAGAAGTCGACCTGCCACGGTGAAGGCAGGAGGAGAATGAAGGCGGCGGGGAAAAGCAGCAGGAGAGAGAGCCCGAGGGGAGCCGCCACCGGAGCCGCCTCTCGGCGCCGCGCTGGCCGCGGGCTCCCGCGGCGATGCCGGCAGCCGGGCTCGCCGCCCGCCGGCGCTGCGGAGAGCTGCGGGCAGGGAATCCCGCGGAGCCTCTGCGCCTCCTTGGTGTCGGGGAGAGCCCGGCCCTCGTGGGGCTTTTGCCAAACTGAGAGTGAGTGGAGCAGCAGTGGTCTCACCCGCATGCTCTGGGGCCCCTTCTAGCTCTTGGGAATGTTTCTCTCTAGTTAGGCTGAGGATGTCTGGGAGGGTGTCACAATTAAAAGTTCGCTAGAAAGGAGATTGAGCTTTGCTGTTCCGTAGCTTCTCCGATAGTCCTTTTCCCTTCAACTTCTGTAGGCTTCTTCTAATGAAAAGTGGTTTTCACGGGCATCTCACAGTTAAGAGCTTTTCTTCAACCAAGTTGGCAGAAACAAAAATGTTTCTGTTCCTTATGCACTCCTTTTATAAATATTACCTTCAATAATGTGCAGTGAGCTATTGAGGGGGGAAAAGATTTAAACAGACAGCTTAATGCAAGCTAAATGCAAAGCTAAGAGAGTTGCTCCGAAGAATAAAGCTAAATGTTGGGTTGATAAGTGCCTTAGAAAATGCATTGATAAGTTTCATGCCTAATTGAACAGATCTGTACTTCATGTACTTGTCATCTTGAGATACAGATCTTTATCTTTCCTTGTTTACTAGTATTGAATTGATACCAACAGTTCTTGATAGCTACAAACTAACCAAGCTATTTGTCCTACTGAAAGATTGAATAGTTTGAACTGATAGTTCTTCTGACAAGACTGAAAAAATAAATTATTAAAATGGTACATATATGAGGACTGGGATGATTGAAAATCATGTCTGAGAATTTAAATAAATGAAATGTAATGAACTAAAAACTTATCAAAGACAGAAGTGAAGTGGAATTCATGCCCTGCTGGGAAAGTCAACACCCAAGAAAGAAATTTATAAACAAAGTAGAAACAAAAAATATTTTATTACCTTTCAGTTGCTTTGTCTAGAGTCAGTCCCATACTCAAATTTCAACAGGGACAACGTCCTCAGTTTTCGCTATCAGAGTCACCTATTGATTATAGAATCAATACATATCCTGTTCCCCCATCTGTAGGAAGAGCTGTCATTTTTCATGGAGACCTCCCACTTCATTCTTTGTGTGATAATGTAAAGTGGATAGCTCAAGCAAGAAAGGAAATTTCATTTCACAAGAGGAAGCTGTTCTATTTTAGTGCAGTATCTTTCAAACTATTTTAAAATATATTAATATTTATTAAAAACATATTGATATTTATTAAAATACATATAGGTTGCAAGTTTCATTACCACTAAGAATATGCTGAAGATGAAGTCTACCAAACCAGGTGAAAAAAGTGAGCAGTATTTTTTATCATTATCAACCACATTGTGTGAAATAAATGTGCATTCCAGTTTTACACACAATTACATTCATGTTACATTCATGTTGTATTTTTGCTTCAGGCAGAACAAACACAAAATAAGATTTTTACGTATACAGAAATCAGATGTCAGGTAAATTTAAGATGTAGTCAACAACATGAAGCAACATTTATAGTCAGAGAGGTGAGCCAGAATTGTTTTTATGTAGTATGGAATATGTTAATTAAGAAATTTCACGTAATAAGATGATGGTAGATTGGCATCTGTTTTAGATTCTTCAGCTTCAGCAGCCTGGCACCACTCAAGTCACCAACAAGGATGGAGTGACAAAGGATGAGAAGCATTAAAAATGGAAGAAATGGAGGCTAAGCATGAAGAAAAATTGTCATTACTTAAAAAATATGAGAATGAAAGGAAGAATTTTACCCACCAAGCAAGCGAGTGACACTCTTGGTAAAACTGTATTGACTACCTATCTGCAAAAGATCATTTTTCTTCTTTTCTGTTTCATAAATGACTACAGCATCCATTTTTTTTTTCTGAATGTATAGCTCACTTTGAGTGTGGGCAGGGCTTCTGGCATTTGGCAGCCAAACCCTTATGCATGTGTCTGTCACACATAAGCCTCCCTCTGAAAATGCTGGGAAATAAAGGGCAGAGAACTCAGCTTTGAAAAAGTGCATGGGAAAAGAAACTACCAGTTGTAGTGGCCAAGTAACATGAATGTATGAGAAAGATGTTTAAATGCTTTGGGAAAGAGAGTGGTTTTTGTCCAACATCACTGCAGCATTAGATTTTCCATTCCCGTAGCGTGTCCTACCACCTCTGGGAACACATCATGGCTGATAGGTTATTAATTGGTTCTGTGAGAATAGAATTAATCTATTTTCAATATCCACTTTTGGAAAAGAGAGCAGTCAGAGTAACAAATGTAACACCATCAAGGACAGGTGTCACACTTTATAGAAAGTGGATCACAAGGTCATCGATAAGCTCCTTGGTATTTTGTGTATCAAGGTGCACATGAAGAGCACATTCCCAATTCCTGATGATATAATTTTGGTTTTAACTTCCATTCACAGACTGATAATAATCCACACAACTATGTCAAAAAATATGTGAGTATATTCCCTCTTTTTTCCCCATTTAGTCTAAACTAAGCTTCACAAAAATACTCCATTTACGAGTATCAGGCACCCTTATATAAAATAATGTGTCATTTGTCACCATGGCTTGTAATCTGAAAATATGACTGGGGAACTGATGGAGACCAAAATAGTCTTCTACAGTCTGTAGGTGGCCAAAATATTCTGCAGCTATATTCCATAAAATTCCTTGCTGCCGTGACTTCTTTCTCAAGAACTCTTGTCAGTCCACTTAAAACTCTCACTCACATGGGCCCAAAGAGAGACATGGGGGTTTGTTCAAATTGTAACTAAATATAGTTATACATTAAAATTCCTCTTTTCTCATGTAAACAGGATAGTAGCAATTCCATAAATTCTGCGCAAATTTTTACTTTGAAATTCTGGGCTTTTAAAATCATCTAAAGGCTTGAAAAATTTAAAACCATACAGCTTGAAACCTAACAGCAGAGAATCTCAAGCGACACTGGGAAATTCATAGTCTTAATATCATTCCTTAATCCTAAATTATACATGCAGCCTGTATATCATAATCAGTACTGTTATTATTTATGGTAGTCTATAAATGGCTTGCATCTCATTAATGGGTATTTTTAACAGAGAAGATAATTTGGATAAAATTTTAACAAAGGATTGTAACTACTCTCAAGGAAATTATTAGCATTATTTGCCTTAGTAATTAATTTATTAAAATAAACTATTACAAATCAAAAGAGACAAGTAAAACATCATGGGCTATAAACAGTATGACCTAAGAAAATTATTGATTATATTTTTCTGTTTCATTCTCAACAAAAAACAATTATATTTGCTTTCTCACAATTATCCTATTTCTTCAACAAAAGGAGATAGAATTCCCCTATGTGCATTTAAAAATTAATTGTACACATTGCAAAGTTTGAAAATGTTTGGGGTTTTTTTTTACATTTGGAAGAAAAATAACTCATAAAAATATAATTTGAAAATAACTAATGTACATTCTGTAGGATTTATGAGTCTTCATAAGAAAACAAAAAAAACATAAAACATTATTAAGGATGGGAAATAATTTATTTCTTCACAATTTTTGAAGTGATAGTTAAAAGATTAGACAGTGTAATTCAAATCTGGGATGTGATCTGCAGATAATTTAATTGTTTAAAGCATTTTGAAATATATGTGGGTGCATCTATATTTTATAAAAATGATTGGTAT